GGAGTCATTCCAACACCTTCCACCAGTCTTAGGCCAAGGAATGTGGTATATCTGGAATAACTACTCTTGAAGGAAGAATGCCTTTACCATTCATTGTAAGTCTTTATTCTTATTTCATCTCTTTTGGAAAGTAGATTTCAGTTCTTTATTTAGCAGCAATAGAGGTTAAAGCCTATGACTGCATAACTATAGATCAGAAATCTAAGTTCTTTATTTCTTCATCATCATAGGCAGGACTTGAGCGACTATATAAACAAGACATGAGGAAGTTAAGTTCTGCTTATCCTGGTTTTAGTTGGAAAGTCTAAACTATCTTTTTTAAGTCCCAGATTTGGATAGAAATGATTCCATTATTAAAAAATATCTATCCAAATCAGATGCTCAGCAGCAAGAGAACTCTTTAGAAATTTCATGAGAGTTAATGCATCTTCAAATTGCGAAATTCTTGAGATTTTACAGGACTTGACATCCTGTGTGCTACAGGAGATTGGAACATTTGTAGCTACTTTGTTATCTAGATTCTGGATTTATAAAACTTCTTTAAGAACACCTAATTTTATTTTTTTACTTTTCTATGAAATGGCTTCTCAGTACAGAAGAGAAAGGAACTATCAGCTGCCCCTACCTGGGTTGGATTTTAACCCCCTTCAGCCTATGAAGGCATTGGCAGATACTTAATAGCTCTGCATCAGCCACACAGGGAGTGGAAAATCCCACAGACATTAAAAATGCCAAGCCAGGGTGGATGTGGAGGGTGAGGTTACTTGGGACAGGGTGGGGAGGGATAGGTCAAGATTCTGAGGCACACTAAGGTGGAATTGCCTATCATTGTCCTTTCCACTTGTTGCCAATTCTGCTTCCAGGAACCATGTCCTAATTTGGGCAAAGAGCAAAAGTCTACCTGAAGGATTAGACAATGAAGGACGGGATTTAAGAGTTGAGGAATTTAAACTCCATTTGCCTGCAGTTCAGCTCCTACAGAAGGAAAAAGATGGAGCAGTAGATGAATTTGTCTTCTTCAATAATCAACTACCCAGTTAAACAAAATTGGCATCTCTAAAATTTGCAAGTGGCACACGCTTTTTTACATTCAAATTATCCTAGATGGTGATGGAATAAAAGGTGGATGAAAATTCTAAAGCAAAAACCCTATCACCCACCCAACACAGTTAATATTTTAATTAAGCTCTAGAAAATAGAAAAAAGCAAGTACATTCACATGAAATTACCAGAGAAAAAAAAAGAAATGCAGCTCCCAAATTTAATTTTGTAATTGAGAGAAATGATCCTCCAGAATAGGTATGTCCCAGAGATAATACAACTCCTATGTTCCCCATTCCCTCTTTCTTACAGAGCTATCTAAATGAGTTTTTCTGTATTCTTCTTCTTCTGGTGACTCTAGACAAAAAGCATTTGTTTAGAAATAAGTTATTGTACAAGATACCTTTCTGATATTACTATAAATAGAAGAGTGTTTTGTTTTAACATTTCCAAGTAGGAGAATGCATATGTGCTTTTCAAGAAACCTCTGTTAGAAGTAATTGGACCTGGTATTACAGTTTATGTAGCATCCTTAGGCAGGAAGTGGACAGATTCACACTCTATTGCCACCTTTTCTCAGCAATGCATGTGTCATCTAAAGAAGAAGAGTCTGGAGAATACCACCTTTGGGACTCTGGTTGGCTGTGTGTTCTTGGTCTTATACTCATCCAGACATGCTGAGGCATTATGAGAATGGAGCATCTGGATGATTCATGGTAATATACCTTGTATGCTAAATCGGATTCTGTCTAACATGCAATAAGCATACATGCCATCACCAAAAGTTTTGTCAGGCTTTGGAAATAAGAAAGTGTTTTATACTTATTATTTCCTTTGCTTTGGAAGTACTGTTGATGTGCAAGATGTACACTTAAGATTTTTCTCTAGGCAGTTGGTTGACTTTACATATGAAGAATTTGAATGAATTGATATGTATTTTCTTGGAATTAATCTTTGTTTAGTTCTTTAGTCTGTTTAGCATATCAGGTATGTATAGAGTAATTATATAATTTATTATTTAATCAATGAAGCTTTTGTTTGAGAAAATACTAATGTTAAATAAACACTTGGTTACACACTAGGGTTTTTCCAGCAAATTAAGAGCATGTCAGCTTATTTGTGAGCAAATGAGCTGGGAGACATGGATCAGTAATTCAGATACTATACAAACGAGAGTCATGGAAGACAACTGTATTCTCCGTTAACTAAAGCATAGACTTCTGATTTCTTAAAAAGTGAAATATATGCCTATGAATTGTTTTAATTTTTTGGTCAAAAAAGGATCCAGAACCTCAAGGGAATGGGATTTGTAGGATGCCTCCATTTTCTTCTGCTCTGCTTACTTACCAAATCATAGAACATTAATAAAAATGTAAAAAAGGTCCTTACTAGTATTTCAGTTCAGTTAGTTCAACTGAGGTGAATATAGAAAGATAAAAGATGGGGCAGAGGAAATATATTCTCATTCATGCCCTAAAGAATACACCACCAAACCATCGCAATTATCAAAGCAAAATTATAAATTGAAATTTATAATCTTGTCATTTTCTCCATCATCATCCACCATGGTATTATGAGTAAACTTTCCTTCTGTTCTCCTGTTCTTTTCCACTGATCTTAAAACATCTTTAAACTGTAATTGTTATAAATTATGTTCATAATCTTGAAATTCTTAGCACTGTTAGGACTTCAGTATGGACTCCTAAAGAATTATGTTTTTACTTGTTGCTCCTATTTATTGTACTTGTTGGTTAGTTTGTGTTTAATTGACATGTAGTTCTGGAATTTAACAGCGTCTCTTTTACATCAGTTAGAAGCTTTTGGCATTGATCAATCCCCTGGTAAGAAGGCTAATCAGCATTTGAGTGGGTCATACCAACCTCACCAAACTTTGGAAATTCTATGCTGTATTTTGAGTGCTTGGTGGTTTTCACTGCCTGTTTTTGTACTAGCTGGAAGCTGACAACCTTCTGCATTTAATAATATCTCATTTCTCTGCTGGATCATGGTAATTCTTAAGGTACTTCAAAAGGCATTTAGTGAATCACAATTGTGATTAAAATTCAACCACAGGTGCTGCTACAATTGCAAATATCCCAGTAGAAGTGACAATACATAGACAGATACCTTTATACACATTTAAATTTGCACATATTCAGGCAGTTACCACAAAGCATAACTTATACTCTAGGAGCTAGCATGTTGCTTTTCATTTAATTGTGCAATGAATACTTGATTTCAAAGACATTGCAATGTTGGCAAAATATGCCCACAAAGCAAGAAAATACAGTAATGTATTTGGCTAATTTTCTTTCTGTTTTTTTTTTTTTCCACAGAGAATTAAAGGCTCTGAAGTAGCCACATAGTTAGAATTTTCATATAACAAAGGAAACAGGGTAACTCAACAACTCTTCTCTCATACTTTGGTTGCTTTCATTCTGTTTTATAGAAATCAGAATAATTTTAAGTAGTTAGACACATTTATTTTTAAAAAACTTGACCATGGCAATGGTTGGTAGTCTCTGTTTGCTTACTATATTTGGTAGCCAAATCAGTTTTAAAAATGTGTTAAAACCCAACAATGAACAGCCTATGAAACATGAACAGGAAAGATACATGGGTATAAAGATATTTTGAAGGATGTGACAGGGCCTTGTGATCTGATCAATCAAGAGAATAAATAAAGTCTGGTCAGAATCATCACCCTGTCCTTCTCCCAACTGATCACATCAACATTGTTCTCACTATCCTGAAGGGTCTCTCTGCGTAGTCAGTTTTATAAATTACTTCAGGGGCTTTCTCCCTGTTTATAGAGCCTGTTGCTGGATTCTGCTAGATGACCCAACCTGGTTAATACCTGTGTGACTTACAAATTTAGAATGACATTTGGGCTGCTTGTTTCCAATAATCTTGATGATTATGACAACAGAGTTGCTACTGGAGAACTACTGGGAACTCCTTATTTGTCATTGAGTAGGAGGTGACACCTGCTGGGCAGGACAGCTCAGGGATAGTGAGGACAAGTGGGTGCTCCCCCACATTTCTATTTCTAATGAGTCTTTTTCATGCAACTGAGCCAATACCAGTACAGAGATCTTAGTCTCTTGTGATACTCACCAAGTATTACCCACATGTTTTAAGACAAACCACTCAGTGCTACCAAAAAAACAAAAAAAATCAGCTATCTCTTTATGCAATCCTATGACATCTATCACTCTGGAATTTAAGTGCTACTGCAAACCTTGAACTGAAATAGATCAGGTAAGAACATACCAAGAGAAGGCCTTTTAAGGTACAGAAGTCCCTAGATGGTTATGATGTTGTAGCCCACTTCCAATGTCCTATCACATCTCAAGAAAAGATATCTTTGATACAGAAGTCCATTTCAAAGACAAAGAAGGTGTGTGTGTGTGTGTGTGTGTGTGCGCGCGCGTGCACACGCACATGTGCATTTTGTGGTATGCTAGATACTTTCTCTTCTTCATCTTCCTGTTTTCATAAATATATGTCATGTACACCTGTGTTCCCAGACACAGGTGAAGTTGAGCACTGGGCTCATCTTGTTAGAATTCAAATGGATGCAACAATATCTTTGTATCTGAAATGGAAATAAAAATGAAGCATAAAAGTGAAATGAAGTAAAGGGCCTCACACTTAGGAGACTGGTCAGCTATTCAGCAGTTATTTAAGGGTGACCTAAACTTAGAAGAAAGACTAAACTTGTAGCAATAGATTGGACACAGACAGTGCAAACAGGAGCCCCAGGTAGGATGGGAGGCAGTTTGGAGTCAAGTTGAAAGGAGGCCATAATGATGTTGGAACCAAAGCTTAGGAAGTCCTAACAACATGCCCACACACATCTCTGCTGCAGGCAGACTAGCTTATTATCCTTTTTGAATTTTAGACACTAAGAGGCCTCCCAGTTGGAGAAACAACTAAGACATTTTAATAGGACTCACCAGAGCTGTCTTTTATTGTCAGGATTTGCACCCAGTTGAACCCACTGTTCATGTGATTCCTGGTGTTGTAATAAGTTCTATTTCTTCTCCACACCTAAGCAATACTTTTCCACTTCCAGTTTTACAGATGAAAACAACTAAACCTGTAAAGAGATTAACCAGTGAAAAACTAAGAAGAAAATATTAAGTAGAACCCCAGACCCAACTTTGCTTTCTTTGGCCCTGTTTACTGCCCTTCATAGACCTAACACTTCCAATATTTGATAAAATTGTGACACGTCAGTCCACATGATCCTGAAAGAAGAAATTTCCAGTTTATGTTTAGCAATTTATGGCAGATGAAGAATGACCGAGGCCAGCTGTGTTTATTAGCTCACAGACATTGCCCTATTGCTACCATCTGCGTGGAGGTGCTTTGGTCATTTAGGGCTTTCTGTCTTGTGTATTTTGTTTCCACCCTTCCTTATTTTGTTTTGTTCCCTGGGTTAAACCCATACATCATGAGAGCAGACATGACATACATCATGAGAGCAGGAAGATGAAGAAAAAGGAAATGGCTTTGATGCTTTTTCCTTGAAAATTTTCTTCAGAGGTAAGCTATTGTTCCACTGGGTTTTGAAGGTCTCTGTACAGTCTCCTTGGGGAAAATGATCCACAGGGAAGTGTCTACCTGATTCCCTGGTAGTCACTCAACAGTTCACAGAATTGTGCTGCAAATCAATATGTCATGTCAGTAGCACAGAGAAGCTCACAGCATGTGACACAAGTTCCTGTGAAGAAATGGTCTCTCCAGGGAAATGGGACTGAAAAGACCCACTGAGAAGGAAGAATGGAAATGGTAGGGGGCCTGCTTTCTACTATGAGTGGCAATAACTTAAGCCTGGGCCTAACCTTCTCTAGCAGGAGGTGGAGCTGTGCAGGAATTTGCACAGCTGCCCCAAGCTTGTCCACTTAGAGACTGTCTTTGGTTTGAAGGGATGTGTGCTGGGTTTTGTACTGATTGCCTTCTATTTCCTCAGTTGACTTTAATGGCTATCATCTTACATTCCTCCCAGGGTGGCTTCCACTGCTCTCTTGGCATGATTATCAAAATTTCACACTGATTCTAAACTGAAAATAGGAAATGCTGTAGGCTTTATTTGCTTTAACAAAAGTCAACTTTTAAACCATCAGACATTTCTCAGCATTCATTTCATTTGTTTTTCCATGGGTAACCATGACATTCAAAGGAAAGAAAAAAAAGTCATAGCTGGATATGTTAGTCGGCCACATTGAACTAAGAGGCTAAATCACTTTAAAACACTTATTCCATTTTTGTACATTCTATTTTGATTTTTTTAAAAATATGCAGTCAATTTATCGGTGTTGTCAGATCCCCATACCCTCATAGCTAAAATGGATAGCATTCTTAGTGTTGGAAAGCCATATAAGTCAGATAGGGCAGAAACTTTGTGAAGGATATTCAAATGGAGGCTATAAAATGGCTAAGAGATTACAAAAAAAAAAAAAAAAAATTGTAGACAAAATGTTATGATTGAAAAAGCCAGTGGAAGCAGTGGATATAAAGGACACAATATAATAGTGTTTGCAAGGTCTCAGAATAATTAAAAAAAAAATTGTCTCAGATACTAATACATCACACATTTGCATAGTGCTGGTTGAATTTCTAGCTAAAAAAGAGCTGGTTCATCTTTCAGTTCTGAAAAGAAGTGGTTGGACAGCAATCCCATGAGCACATGCAGACCAGCTCTACCGGTATGGGCACTGTTGTGATAGCTTACATGAGGTGTATCATAGCAGATGAAGGAGCAGGTCATCAACTGCAACCAAACAAAGCAGACCGAGCCATGGAAACATGTCTGTCCACAAGTACTTTTCCAAGGGCGAAAATGGTGTAGTGTTCAGTATTGCCCCATGTAGGATGGCATTAGCAATCTTCATGTTGGTGTTATTCATCTAAGAGAATAAGGTTAAGATATTACAAAATGACTGTCCAAAAGAGGTATCGTTTCTGAATTCAGAACCTATTTCAGAAGGGATCGTTTGGCATTAAGTAATAAAAATAACAATTGCTAAATCCCTATTTCCCTCTTAACAATGAGCAGAATTAGATAGAATGAGAATTTACATTCTGTTTTTGCACTTGAATGGCCTTTATAAACTCTGAGCTTCAGCTTTTCTCATAAGGTAAAAATAATGAGGTTTTCACATGGTCATTATAGAGTTAGTTTTGGGTTCATGATATATAATTAAAAAATAGCAGCAGTTTGAAAAGAAGCTCGCATTTTAATTTACTTTTGAGTTAGCTCTGTAAATTTGGTTCAACAAATACTTATCGTGCATCTATTACTACTGTGAAGTATTCTGGACCTCTGGAAACAGTGTGAATAAGACACAGCCCCTGCTTTCCAAGAGTCTATGACCTAGTGTAGGGAAAGACTAATGCACAAACCTGATATGATCAGTCCTGAAAGCAAAGTCTTACTGGAATATGGAACAGAGAACAATTAATTCCAATGGATGGGATTTGAGGGCACTTCTTGAGGAGGTGGCTTTTGAAGTGATGTGTGAGTAACAAACATCTATTTTTTCTTAGTTCAATTTGTCAGCTCAGTTTATTCCTGATCAGTTTGTCATGATAATTATGAAGGCAGTGAATGTCACACCCTGGACTCAATGTCTAATTTAAAACAGGAGACAGAGATGCATTTCATCCTCCATGTATTATATGTACTTTACTACCAACTTTATTGATTATCTAATAAACCCACAATGTGACTATGAAAAAGGAGGACCATCTGCAAAGTCATTTTTAGAAATAAGGAAAGAAAAGAAATAGGAAAAAATCCTTTTTTTCCATTCAAAATTCATTACTATTAAATTCTATAGCTAAATACGCAAAAAAAATAATTTAAAATGTTGTTTTAAGTAGTAAATTAAAGGGCTATCAAAGAGTAAGTAATAATTATTAATATTCACAGAGTACTTACCATGTACTGGCCACTCATCTATGTACCTTAAATACATTAATTTATTTGATGCTCACAACAGCCCCATGAGTTAGACACATGACACTCACTTCACAACTGAGGAAACAACCATTAAGTTCAATAATTTTTTCCAACACCACACAACTAAGTCTAAAGACCTTGAAAACTGGGAGACAAAGTCTACATTTAGATTTGTTTCAATCTAGCTGTGAGATCTTGGGCAGGGTACCTTGTATTTCCAGAGGGCCACAATTTAAGTGAATTTCCTGAGATTTTCTAGTTGTGCAAACACTAAAATAATCTTTGTTTTGAATATTGTTAGATATTTTCAATAATTTTCACATTCATGCATTTAGATATTTTAATTTAAAGTGAGTCTTCAACTTCATTTCCTTTCCTACTAGGTGCAACTAACAGCATCAATCCAAGGTAGTTTTACATTAAGAAAAATTAATAACACCCTTAAATCTTAAGTGTGATAGAAGGACAAAGGTGGAGAAGATTGATGTAGCCACATATATGAGTCTTACTAACTAACTAGTCACTGGTGTCTTTGCTTCACATTTCCTTCTGCTTCAGAGTGGGCCTTCGATGAATATTCACTCCATGTCTATTTGAATTTAGATATAGAATCTTAGTTAACATAGAACAATATGATCAGTATCCTTATATCATCATTTCTTGATTAGATCCTGTCTATACTGGTTCCTATAATAGACAAGCTGAGTTTCATTGCCTGTTAAGAATGAACTATAAAATCACAAATCTGAAGGAGACCAGCGGAAGATGAACATTAAATCCCTGGGTCACAATGGTGACTTTTCTTCTGGTCACTCTCAGAGGCTGAGGACAGGGTTAGAGAGACTCTGGCCACTGCTCAGCTGGAATCCAGCTTTCCTACTGATGGACTGTCTGGGCACTTGGCCTGTGGCTTCCATGTTCAGTCTGTTCTCAAAAAAGAAGCTTAGAAAGTTTACAGGCTAGATTCTCACTTTTTGTGACCCTAGGGAAGGCTTTTTTTTATTATTATTTTTTCAGTTGTATATGGTCTCAATACCTATATTTGTTTTTATGTGATGCTAGGATTGAACCCAGTGCCTCACACTTGTGAGGCAAGTGCTTTACCACTGAACTACAACTCCAGCCCCTAGGGAAGGCTTTTCAAGCTCACTTACTGAGGTATGCCAGGAGGCATGATTCTCCTCAGAAAAACTTTATTCTTGAATAAAGCATTGTTTGAAAACAAATCCATTTGTCGCCAAATCCCCAAATATACAAATACATAAAATTTGGAGAGGAAATCTACAAATCCCACAGGGCATGGTTTATTGCCAGCCTGTTCTCCTGAAAAGTTCTCATTTCCTTTAGCTTTACATAGACCTCTCTCTTCTACCAAGGTATAAAAGTTCTTGCAAATTCTCAATCTCTTAGGTTTGCCCTAAGTCATTACCCTGGCTTGCTTTTAAAATGTACTCTCTTTTACACAATCCAAAATGCAGGGATAAAAAATTTCACATTCCTTTCTGATTTCTTTAAGCACTTTTTTTTTCTTTCTGAAATGTCTGGCTTCCTCAAGACCATTTCTCAAATTTAAATAATTCATATTTTACATTCTCTCCCACTTCTCATAGTCAGAACAACTGTCCCTTCTCTTTGTGATTCCCGCCTGCCATCCCTCTGGTCCTCTGTTTCTGGCACACTTCAAACTTTTAGCTTCTTAATCCAGTTTATGTTCTTTCCATTCCTCATTGCTGTGCTGGGGAGGGGCTGTGTTATATGTACCTAGTTCTGATCTGTAGCTGTTGTAGATTTGAAGAAATGAGATGGTAAATGTCATCAGCGTGGCACCCACAGTCATTCCAAGCACTCACAGGCTGCCTGGGATCTCCCATGGCTCCTTGTAATTTTCCACTCCAGCTGACACTTTACTTCTTGCATATGCAGGTTGCCTCTGGGCTGTGGCCACATCTGTACTGGAGGTGGAAGTAGGACCAACCCAGGTGCCAGGCCACTGCAATTCTAGACCTCTAGTTCCAATTAAATGCATCATGCTTTGGTGAGGGACAGGAGGAAATAAGCAAGTCTTCAAATCCCTCTTAGTCTAACATCCTCCCTTTCTACCTACTATGGATGCTCTGAAACCTTAGGCTGCTGCTACCACAACTGCTGCTCTTCCATTTTAACCCTAATTTCTTAAGACCTCCTACAATCCCTAGCAGTAAAAATGGCAGTAAACTACCCTGTTTATTCTTTTTCCTCCATTTCTTCTTTCCTTCCCTCTTTTATTTTCCCTCCATTCCTCCTTTCCTCCCATTTAATTAACTAAACATGGGGTATTTTGTCTTAGTAATAATTAAAAAATTGTTCTTTTTTATTTAATATAAACTTGTCTTTAACTATTTTTATATTCAAAGTTTCAACGAATTATTTCATATTACTATCGAAAGAATATATCTATTGCTCCCATGATAGTTTCTAGCAATGCTTACTTCTGATAGAACGTCAGTCAGATGAACATTTTGGAGATTCCAGGAAGTAGGACATGTGAGCCAAGTGCAAGTTAGAGTACTTAAGCTTTATGAAATCCTGAGAAGTGTAAAAACACCATTTCTGTAGTAACTCCTGTCCTCTTACATTTCAACATTAAAAAACTTAGATTGTTTTTTTTTTTAATATTTTATTTTTTAGTTATCGGCGGTCACAACATCTTTGTTTGTATGTGGTGCTGAGGATCGAACCCGGGCCGCACACATGCCAGGCGAGCGCGCTACCGCTTGAGCCACATCTCCAGCCTAGCAAAAGCAATTTTAAGCAGGAAGTGTGAATCAGGCAGTATAGCGATACCAGATTTCAAACTATATTACAGAGCAATAGTGACAAAAACAGCATGGTACTGGTACCAAAACAGGCAAGTGGACCAATGGTATAGAATAGAGGACACAGAGACTAATCCACAAAGTTACAACTATCTTATATTTGATAAAGGGGCTAAAAGCATGCAATGGAG